AGCCCACAGAGGTGAGGTAGTTCTACCAAAAGGTTAGCAGTCTAACATCCTGCTATGAGACACAGGCAGCCTGAGGCTGCCTGAGACACTGGCCTTAAAGCTCCAGAAATTTAAGGCTGGTCTCCACTGCACAGTCTCACATAAATTCAAACTTGAGCTCCGTGCCTTGCTCTCTCCACTTGTAAAATTCAGCTAAATTACTTTGTAGCTTACAGATTTTCAGAGCTTTAGAACCTATTATTATTATTCCTCACCTTCAAAAGATCAAACAAACCCAAAAAGTCAAAACTGCCTCAAACTATTCAGACATGAACTAGCTCCATATAGCGGTACAAGAAAAAATTGGGTCTTCCAAGCAGTGAGACTGATGCTGAACTATTTTTTCTTCATACTTTGTTCTGGCAGGGGATTGGAATTCCATGATCTTCAAGGTCCCTTCCAACCCAAGCTATCCTATGATATGAAAAGACTGTTGCAGACCTTAGAGCAGTATTCCTGGCATTTACACAAGGAACACTACCCAGCCACTCAACAGGAGAGAGCATGTCCACACCGGTATGAGATTCTTGGACATTGCTCTCAAGTTTTGTTTGTTTTTACACATCCATATGTAACTGATTCTATGATCTACAGATCTCACAAAAACAGCAAATACTACTGCTATTAAAAAGGTGTAGAACTTAACACATGAGTCAGGAGATGCCAAATCGAGAGGTAAAACAGACGCATTTCTGATGCATTTATGATTTATTCCAGTAGCACCAATAATCGTGTTGTTACCCTGGATTTAATCAAGAGATGATATTACTTAATGCGGCAACGGAGGCGTGTACAGCGTGTAAGCACCATGCCATAGGGGAAAGCTTGCATGACAAAGAGAATTCTTCAGGAAGTTTGGCAAGCAGTTGGGAACAAGCAATGCTCAGCCTGCAACCTTCCATTAACAGATCTAAATACAGAACCATAGTGTAAAACAACACCTTCCTGCAGTATTCTCAATATCAATACTAAGAATATAATTACAAAGCTTCACTAGCTTTGCTTTTTCTTTATTTCATCTTTTGAAACATTTTTTCTTTCTCTCCCATTTTCATTTCATATTTTATGATGCACTGTGGATTGTGTTTGCAGAAGGATCTCAAAAGCAATAAAGTAGCTGCATCTACAAAACATTCAATCCACAGTAAACAAATAGCCCACTTGTCACAGGATTAAACGCTGAGGACAGAAAACAATGGATACAGGGCTACATTTTCTTCAGTACTAGAGAAAGGTCTAGTGGATTTTGCACACAAAGGAGAGATGGTTTCTAGAGCAACTATTTGAATCTCCTATGCTCACACTCCAGAAACTCCTCTAACCACATTTGATAAGCAGCTCACCGCAATTCAGAGCGCAGGATAAGAAAAAAGGTAACACTACGAGGCTGTTCGGTTTTATTACCTCCATCAGCCAGCTGCTGACAGACACACCAAGTCCTGTACTGAATACAGTACAAAATGGAAGATCAGCATTTTTAAGGTGATCTCCCTGCACCAGGCTCCTCAAATTAGGAAGATGCTCAGTGCTCCACAAACACATCTCACATTCAGTTCAGTTATAACCTACAAGATTGCTCAGCTAAAACTTTCCATTAACATGGCAGTTAATACAGATCTCTTCCTTCCTGAAAAGGAAATCAGTAACTAGAAGTTTTAGCCTCTGGAGAAATTTCTTTTTACTATTAAAAGTTACTAAATTAATTTAGCATTTGAGAATCTTTTTGTCATCTATTAATAATTACAAGTAGGAAATACTGACACTAATTCCATCCAGTTTAACTCACTATGATTATACCCAAAACATCTCACTGCAGGATAACAACCCCCTTCCAAAATAGATTTCCAAGCTCCACCAAGAACTTACCCTTTCATTACTCTTCCATCCATGCAACAAACTAGAACAGAATGCCAGCATACAGGAATGCTCCCAGGGAAAAGCACACGAAATCAGCAAGTGAGTAATGATACCAGAAATGTTTGAGTTCCTTGTATGTCTGATCAGGGCAAGTATTCAAAAGTTTATGAATACTGTGGTTGATGAGGACCTTTTAAGAGCAATGAGCTCCTGGCTGTCTCTGTGCCAGTATCAGCACATTTCTAGAGCTGCTCCACTTGCAATGGATTAGTACTAAAGGGTAGATTTGAAAGCCTCTCCATCTCATTAATATTCATTTTATATTTTAAATCTTATTTACATATAGACTCATCTCCAAGATTAGAAGGCTCATAAATTACATTCTATTTTTAAACCTGTAGTGTTTGAGCTCATTGTTTTGGAAGGAAAACAGTAGCAGACTGCTTTAAGCAGGCTGATTTATTCATTTATTTTTAAAAGAATAGTATTTATTGGGCTAGATTCAACTCTGCTCTAACTTCATTGTCCTGCAAAGATTTGCACTACAATGAATCCTGCCTTCAAAGCAGGCACACAAGTACAACTGTCAGAACATTTTCATTCTGTCATTATTTTTTGTTCCATCACAATGGGTGGGCACAACGTCTGCAGCTGAATAAACTCACAAAAGCCAACTTGCCTAGCGAACTCTTCAAAAATAGCTGTAACTGCCACAAAAACAGATTAAGGAGAAGTGACTATCTGCTTTGTTTCATAGCAAACACGTACAGATAATTTTGCAGTCAAAGCACACCATATCATACAGCAAACCTGGCTTTAAGAGTCATAAGGAAGGTGCAACAGAGAACAGATTCAAGCCTTCTCTACAGGAATGGAGGACAGTTTTGGGGGAAGGTATCTTATTTCTGTATAGCACAAATCCTTGTTACACAGCTCAACCCCACAGATAGCAACAAGTTCAGGATGCTCAGACAGCCCCTGCAGCCTTCTGGTGCACACTAGTGAAGGCATGAGGACCAAAAGCAAAAAAAAAGATTAATTGATCTAGTTTTACCTTATTCTCCCTTGCAAACTGTTTGTCATAACAGATCAACTCCTAAACAGCTTGTTTTTAATAGAAAATGCTCTAAAATGTTGAGAGGTAACCTCTTGCAAAAATCAAAATAATTCCTCCACTTCCCTCAAGAAAAAAAAAAAGTTTGCAACAGTGAGAAGTGCAGATCAAGAGTGACTGCTGGAAGAAGAAAAATGAGATAAATACACTGCCACATGCATTAGATGATAAATCTTATTATGCTGCCACTTACAATATGCACTACTCTGTATTTCATGAAGAATTCAACTGATGCAATCCTTTCCTACCATCTTGCCCTCTCTTGGCCATACAGCTGGTATGACCTCTAATTTTAATGATTTATTAACTAAGGAACACATCATTTCTGTGATTAAGTCTCTTAAAGTATACACAGATCAAGATTTATGAGCCAGAAATAAGGAAATCAGACTTCTAGAATCCTTCCCATTTGGGTCTTAAATTCAGAGGTAAGTATTTTAGACAGGCGTTAACTTTGGCAGAATGGATTGTTAGACAATGAGCTAAAGAAAAGTGTCACTAATGATAGTAAGGTTCATTCTAGGCATCAAAAAGCCTCCTTTCAGAGCTGATTCAAAATGAAAAATATCTTGCAAAACACCTCATTCACCTCACATATCATGCCTGAATCAGTTTCCCTGCAGATCATAAGCATGAGAGCCCAATAAACTTACAACTAAGGATACAGAAGGTAAAACACAACAGAAAAGAAGAACACAGCCTTTGGAGCACTCACTGCTCATGCTACCCACTTTTTATGTAAAAAGGATCTCTTCAACTCAGAATTGTTTATGTATTTTTACTCTTCTATCACCTCTCTTCTGCCTTCCAAATTTTCCTGCTTTTTGTCACATCTCCAGAAATGTGGAACTCATGCACTGCTTTCTCCCCTAGTATATATCACAGAAAGCCTACATATATCTCTCCTAGCAGCTTTCACACAGTCGTGCTTAGTTCTTGTTATTCCATTCTTCTCCAGCTCTGCCTAGTTTAACTTTTCTCCCATGCAATATCCAGACAAATTCCCTCAATCACCCCCCCACTTTCCTTCCCTGCCCTTTCTTCTCTCGTGTTGTTCCCCCTACCCCATGTAACATTCTGCTCTTTTCAAGGCACAGCCTTCCTGCCCAGTCACTCTTGTCCCTGCCTCCTCATATCAGGAATGAGCCACCATTGCTCTTTCCTTTGCTAGGCAAGGAAATGCCACTGCAGCTGTAACACTCACTAATAATGAACACTGCATAGCTATGATCCCATAAACTGGGATTAATGTAATTGCTTACACTAACAGCCTCCCAGTGACGTTCTAAAGAAAAGTGACTTTCAGTGTACTTTCACAGGAAATTGAATACTATGTTCTTTTAATAGTAAGAATGCCTGAACGTATACAGAAATTGTCCTTAGAATAAGGCTGCCATCTAGTAGCAGAATAAAGTAAATGCATAGAAATCCCAAGCCAGAATGTAAGCTGTGATCCCACTTGATAGTCTGACATGCTATTATGTAGATACATAAACATAGGAAGTACAGTTCATCAGGAAAAAATAAACAAAGTGGCAGAAAGTAGAAGTTGCAAGATGGTGGTTTCAAGCAGGCAGCTTTCCAGTAAAATCATACACCATTCAATTCACAACATTAATTTGCTCTAGACAGGTTAGCATAGAGGTGGTGCAGAAGTGAGTTAGTGTTTTTACAGATGTGAAATATTTTCTCTTCCTTCAAGTTAATGGGCAAAAAATGCAATATTCCTCAGAGAAGCTTTCTGCTACAAAATGCAATAAAGCAGATTAAATCAGACTGAATCAAAGAAACATTTCAGGGCAGGGCAGGCCCAAAATCTTACACTGAAACCAGTCATCAAAAAAAACTGCATCAATTAGTTCCTGAAGGGTTAAATAATTATTCTTGCTTCTTGGAGAAAACAAGAAGGAAAAAAAAAAGTTTCCAAGTCAGATTCATTAAAAAGACAGGCACAAATACAGTTTGCAATACACAGGATTTTACTCTGTCATCATTTAGCTGTCATTGACTTTATTTTACAGTTTTGTAGACTGAGATGCAATACATTCAACATCAATAATTTACAGTCATTTACTGCTATTTTTAATCCCTTGACCATCTCCAACACAAAGAAAGAGCCCCTGAATCCTGAAATGCACAATTTACAGTTCAAGTGTGGAATATATTCCAATAAATCTATGTCTTATGATATTACAGTTACAGAGATACCAATGCTTTAGGAAGATTCCAAAGTGTCTCATTTATATAGGAAACTGGTTTGTTTCTGATTGGTGGTAAAAGCAAATCTGGACTCCTGCTTTGCAAGATCCATTGTGGCCCACTAGCAAAGAGCTACCCCCACCTTGGGATATTTTCAAAACAACCTGCATCTATCACAGCTTCTGCAAAGAAACTGGAAGCCAGAAAGGAATAAAAATAGCATGATCACAACTGAAAAAGAATTGAGAGCGGAGACCTGATGAAAACAAAAAGAAGTGGTACAGAAATAAAAATTCATCACTCGTTCAAGATTCTCCACTGATGAAGAGAGAAAAGGGCCTTGCACATTTGAGAGGTATTAATGTATTTTTCAGTTCTTAACAGTAAGGCACTAGTCTAAGTGTAGAAATCTTAACATGACATTTAACATCAGCTGCATTCCTCTGACGCAGAGAATCTCTATTACAAGAATGTTCATTCCATATGCAAGAGTAAAAAGAAAGAGGCACCTGTAGGAATGCAGGTTAGAGCACCAGACAGTTGGACATTAGTATTTCCCTTCCTCTCTTAACACAGTAAATCTCATTCTGGCAACAGAAGCAACACAATCCTGACTATATCTTAAGTTTGCAAAATGAGAACTTCCCTTTTGTCATTCTGACTTTTAACTTACCATGCAGACAGCCGTTATGACGCATTATCTCTATCCTTAAGAGTTACTCATTTGTTCTTGCTACTTTTATCTGTGACAGGCTACAGCTCTGGAAAGCAGAAATTTACATGATGAAGGGAAGTAGATCTTGCGTTCACAAATTCTCATTTACTGGAATAAAGATAAATGCAGATTAGTTGTTTAAGTGCTTTTCCACACCCGTACCATTCCCCCATCGTTAAAAAGGACCCCAATTACGACTTAAGAATTAAAAGTCATCCCTTGTGGCTTAATTAACTCAAAGCACAGCTCCTTCCTTTAAACAATAATTAGTAAGCAGTGAGTGCAATAGCCTAGCTTTATTAATGAAATTCTTTGCTACCAACCAAAGATCAGCTCTGTGGCAGAAACTCATTCTCACTATTAAAATAGTGATACTGTAAAGTATGAGTAAGACTGAAAAAATGAGACATTTAAGTGCTCTCCTCTTCTTGGAAAAGCGATAAAAAGCAAGTATGTCAGATCCTACACATGCAACTGCTTCCCACATCTCCTCTTCAGTGTTCTACAGTTTGAAGTTTGTTTGTTTGTTTGTTTTTTTATTTTTTAGAAGAAAAAAATACATATTAATGTCAGAATTTGGGCTCAAATTGCATTATACCATTTTAACACAATGACTATTGTTCAATATCTTTCCCAAACCTATTTCTACCAGAACAGCTCATCACCACACAACAAAAGCTGTTGAGAATTAAATTTAACCAGCATATCCTCATGTTTTGGGAATATCAGTGAGAAGTTGCTAGATGCCAATCTACATCACAGATATCTACTTTCTCTCTCTTCCCATTAAATAATGGGCCAATTAAGAATACAGCCTTAGTACTTACCAATCAGACAAGACAGAAACCTAGCAAACAGCAGTTACAAAACAAGTATTTGCCTTTCCAATCCCAGCAGCCTGACCCCAAAAACTGTATGTGGTTTTTGAAAAGCAACTCTCTGTTGGGGACCTCTTTGTCAAGTTGACAAGCAAAATAGTCACTCGAAATGAAATTGCTTTAGTTTTCTTCCTACTGAATTATATCGTATCTATTAAAAAAAAAAAAAAAAAAAAAAAAAAAAAACAAGAAAAACCAAAGAATACCAGATTTTTAAGAGGATTAAAACCAAAACACTTAAAGTATCACAAATGTACTTAATTTCCAGCTCAATAAAATATTGCAATATCAATTTATTAAAAAGTTAAGTGAACTGTACATATGTAAACTGCAATACAGCCAAAAATCTGAAATATATGATTTTAAAGGAAAATCATTACTTTCTGAAAATATTTAAAATATTGCATTTCTGGCAGCAAATCTACAAGAAGTGCTCTAGCATGGGTGCAGTCTCTCTGAGCATTCGTCTAGTATTTGTCTTCAAGGCATAAAACACTTCTGCTTTCTGATTTCCATAGCACAATCTTGAGAACACTTCCTTTCTCACTTGCAGAGACAGAATGTGATTTCCAAAAACAGCAGCAGAATTTTAACAGGAAATACTACGGTCCTTATTGGCGCAGACAACACGCTTTCCGAGAGTCCATGACACCTTGGAAATATGCTAGTCATTCCGTATATAAATGCATCAGACTGTGCTTACAAGTTACAGAATAAGTCTTTGATTGATAATTTTTCTGTTTATTTCCGCCAAGGCCACTGAAAATACGAAGGCCTTTTCATCTGAAAGGTTAGCATACATGTCAACTTCTTTTTCTTGTTTCTCTGTAGAAGAAAAAAAAAGTCACTATTAGAAGCTTTTTCCATTATCTGAAGTTAAATTAACTACTATGTAACTTACAATATTATAATGCCTACAGGAATTACAAAGAAGTTTGACAAGTCCTGCTTGGGGAGGGACTGAGAGATAAGGAAGGGAGGGAGGCACACAAAGGTGCTAGCAGAGTCACAGAATTAGTCACCCAAAAGCATGACTGAATTTCTATTCTTTAATGACTAAGGAAGAATGAGTCACTAACATTAGATTGATTCCTGGCACAAAACTGAACTCAAGTGTTCCTCAGGTTTACTGGGGTTTGGTTTCCTGGTGGTGATTTTGTTGGTTGGGTTGTTTTGCTGTGTTTGTTTTGCTTTTACAAAAACAGCCCCCATCCTAAAAAACAATGACATTTCACAATATCCTCATTAACTACAACATTTGTACCCTCATTTTACATCTGAGTAACGAAGACATGAACTACAGTGCCCAAGTCCAAACAGCACAAGGATCCCAATTTGCTACGACAATCATTTCTGAACTTTCTGTATTAGAGACTTTCAATTTTATCCCAGATATGGAACAACACTAAAACCTGAGTAAGCAAGGGAAAGCCCTTCAGCTTTCTCTGAAAACACTGTCTTGTTTCAGGGATGCAGACACATAACGGTAAGCAAGGGTGCTTGCTTAACTAACTTACTCCGTAGCACACGCCAAAACTCAGAACACTGCTTTCAAAAATACCACTTATTCTAGATCATGCCTATTTATACTTAAGTTTAGCTAGCCACAGGTATCTTACAACTCAGAGAAAGCAAAAGAAAACAATAAAAAAAGTTTTGTCAGCATAAGACCAGCCTTGCAGACACAGAAGAGAGCAATACACACAAAATATAGTTCTAAAGATTGTTTTTACAGTATCATAGAATCATTTGAGTTCAAAAGGATCTTTAAAGGCCACGTAGTTCTACAGCTTGATGTTCAGAGCTCCATCCAGCCTGACTTTGGGTGTCTCCATGGATGAGGCTCCACCACCTCTCTGGGCAACCTGTGCCAGCACCTCACCACCTTTATTATAAAAAAGTTCTTCCTTACTGCCAATCTAAGTCCTCCTTCTTTTAGTTTGAAACCATTTCCCCTTGTCTTGTCACAGCAGACCCTGCTAAAGAGTCTGTCTTCTTCTTTCTTATAGCTCCTCTTTAGACAATGAAAGCTGCCATCAGACGCCCCGGAGCCTTCTCATCTCAAGGCTGAACAGCCCCAGCTCTCAGCCTATCCCAACAGTAAGGTGTTCCATCCCCTGGATCGTTTTTGTGGCACTCCTCTGGATGCACTCCAACAAGTCTACACCTCTCCTGTACTGAGGACTCCAAATACAGAGATAGTGCTCCACATCAGGTCTCATCAGTACAGAGCAGAGGGGCAGGATCACCTCCCTTGACCCACTAGCCACACTTCTTTTGATGCAGCCCAGGATACAGTTGACTTTCTGTGCACATTGTTGGCTTATGTTTGGCTTGCCATCCACCAGTACCCCCAAGTCCTTTTCAGAAGGGCAGTACTGTATCCTTATATTCCTCAGCTTTTACTGATAGCATGGGTTGCCCCAACCCAGGTGTGAGTCCTTGCTTTTGGCTTTGTTGAACCTCATGAGGTTTCTTGGGCCTGCAGCTCGAGCCCATCTAGGTCCCTGTGGATGGCAACCCATCCCTCAGGCACATCAACTTCACCACACAGCTTGGTGTCATTTGCAAATCTGCTGAGGGTGCACTCGATCCCACTGTCGATGTCGTTGATGAAGATGTTAGAGAGCTCCAGCCCAAGTACTGACTCCTGAGGGACAGCACTTGTCATTGATTCCACTCAGACATTCAGCCATTGACTACCACTCTCTGGTATGATCTCACAGCCAGCTCCTGGCGACTTGGCCAAGCAGATTTCCCAAGATTTCCCTTCCATCCTGCCCCTTCTGGTGTGCGAGCCAGTCCCGAGAAACTTCCACTTCAAAGAATCCATTGAAATCTTTATATCAAATGGTATTGGGGATTAACACGAGTTTGTAAGCTTTATGCATCAAGATCATTTCATTTTTCATCAGCAACTAGTGAAGAACTTGCATCTGGCTGACATTTTGTTATAAGCTATTCATAGGATACCATGGTTTCTACAGACAGCATCAAAACTTTCCACTTCACATTCCTATCTGAAAGTAGTTTTGACTCACTTCTCTATTATTAGCAAAAGACTGTCTTACAAAATCACAATACCATTTATGTAATACATTAAAAATATCAAGTCCTTTCCGTACAACAAAGAGGATACTTAGGTGAAAATACTCAGTCTTTCTAGAATCATTCCTAGATCTTATGCAATGTTCTGGACCCACGGACCTTTAAATTGTCCCCTGTGCATAAACCAAACGTGGACTCTGCTCCCTCATAAATTTTGCATGGATTCAAAATCCAAAGTGCTGAGATTCTAAGAATTCTTTCTATCCGAGACAGCACTACTGCAACCGTGCACCCTGAGTAAACAAACGCACAAATGATAGAATAACAAATTGCAGGGAAGGGAAAACTTTGTTCAAGCTATTTTACTACTTCAGCTGAAACAGTATCAGGGTACTGAAACATAAATATCTGTAATAAGACTCACAGCTGATAAACAGCAAAGCTGTTATGTACATAAGAAGGCAGCCTGCGAACCAGCCCAGCTCTGCACTGCAGCCCCACATAGCAAAATCAGCTTATGCCACAACAGCAGCAAAATCAATAGCAGATTATTATGAAGTATTTTTGTTTACAAAATATACTGCAGATCTTGACCAATAAAAAAACAAACACTGACAATCTTGACAAAAATCAGGCTTTTATTGAGGAGTTCGTATTTCCCAGGGCTATCACATCACTTTGAAACATGACAGAAGCATCTCCTTTGGGTCCCAGCCCTCTACCACATCCCCTCATTCTATGTCATCTTCCTCTCTTTCCCTCCCCAACTCCTTCTTACTGAATCTAGAGGAAAAAGAGATTATTTTAAAAAGCCCTTTTGAATCCCCCATTCCTCTTAATTGATGCTTAATTCTGCAGCTCTAATATGAACCAGTCAGGAAGGAAACAAAAGAACTGGCTGAAGGCGCAGACATAACAGGGGGAAAGCATACTACATATTAAAAGAGTATTAAGCAATCACAGAAGCAAAGCTACAGATGTCTTCAGGAAGGAAATTTTCACAGCTGGGTGGTCTTCAGACAGACAAAATATCTGCCTGCTATTCTAATTTAGGTGTTCTCTGTCCACCCAAAAGGTAATGCAGAAGCCTAACCAAATACCTACAAACTTACAAGCAGTGGCTTTTTTTTCCAGTTTTGATTTTTTTATTTTTATTTTTATTTCTTTGGGGGTTTTTTTGGCAGAAAAAAAAGAGAAAAGGAACACAATCACTGGTGGCAATCAAGCCGTACCCAAAATGTCCCACCAATATATAATCAAAGGAAATAAAGTACTTAATATCTAATTCAAGATAATCCAGAGCCAGCTTCCAAAGAATCAAATAATGATTTGGGCTGCAGGGGACTCTCAAAGGTTATCTGTCCAATCCCTCTTGCCATAGGCAGGGACATCTTTCACAAGGTTAACACTGCTCGAAGTGCTACCCAAGCCAACATCAAACGCTCTCAGTGCGCTGATAGTTGAGCAGGTCACACAAAAATCACCTCAACTGGAGCAGAAGAATTACAGTTGCTTAGTATGCTTCCACATAAAAAAACACTATCAAGCAGCAAGACCAGAAAAGAAAGAATATTTTTTAAATTTTTTAAATCCACCAATTACTCCCCACATAACAGTTCAGCCAATTTTATAAACCACAAAAATGGAAATTTCAGTGTTAATTTGTTTTAGAGAAATCTCTTCTGTTATGAGGAGTGCTCTGCCAAATTCATTTTTATAGACATTGCAGCCGATTATTGACTATTTTTTTTACTTGTACGTTAACCAGAAGTAGGAAAGATCATACGCCCACTTATTCCTAGCTAATTAAGTGTGTTGTACTAGGGATGAGCTAATGTATTTCAAGGAGGCACAGACTCAAGCTCTGCTGCTGTTTCTTCTTTGACCTCTTCTGCAGAGCTGGTGCAGTAGTCACAGCTCCATTAAAGATCAAGTAGATGAAGGCAATCTTCTTAAGTGACACGTGACAATAACAACAAAAACCCCACACATGCATGCATCTGCATTCTTACATAAAGGCCTCACTACATCTATATTTCTCATTTTCCATCTCAGAGCACTGGTATATTCTCACACACTCCACAGTATGCAGCAAGAGGTCAAAAATGTTTGGCCTAGTTTTCTAGATATTCCTCATGCTTTCAAATTATTGCTTTTAAGACACTACAAAACATGCATGCAGAATGGATTTCCTCTTTTGATTGCTTAGATTGCTTTCCTCTCTTTCATGGGATATGAAAAAAAACAACTTACTCTCAGAAGGCAACTCAAAAAGCTTGCAGAATTTTCAAACCAAAGCTGTGCATGAATTGGACTCTCGGAAAAGTGTCTAGAAATGATCCTACAGGTGCACGTAGACAGAGTTCAGTTCAGATCAATAATAAACAGGGAAGCTTCAAATTCTGTGAAGGTGCAGACATCAGCAAGCCACAAGCAACAACAATAGCAAATGTAATACCAACAGGTTCAAAGATGGAAGTCTTAAGTGATAGCCACATGCTTGAAGGACTCCAGAATCACTCCAGTGCACACAGAAGTCTCTTGTATAAAGATTAAAAACAGTGGGCATCTTAATAAGTAAGGAGGCATTCTTTCCTGGGAGATATTATGTAAAAACCTGGAATCAAGTCACTGTGATGATATATAAATCATACAATGACTTTAACACGCCCTTTCTGCTTTGGGCTTCCTAAAGAGCCTCAAGTTGTGTTTTGCTTTTTTTTTTTAAGCAATGTTGTCACCTCATCACTCTGACAACAGCGACCATCTTGTTTGTTCTTGTGATCTAGAATAGTGGATCACAAAAAAAACAAAAAAACACTAAGCATTACAATTCCAGGGCTTTCAATCTACATGATAAAACTGGGTATGGTGACTAAAAAATACTGATTTAATTACTAGGAATTCCTTCCAATCAAGCACCAAAACTTCATAAAACCAAATTCCCTTCCCCATATTACATGTGGTACTGACTGACCTAGCCCAGTTACTCTAAAGAATGCTATAGAAGTTTACTGATAGTAATGGTAAAAAAAATCTTAACAGAAACAGAACCCAGTGAATACTTCTCCAGTTCTCATACCTCTTTCTTCCTCGTGCTTTTTGGCTGAGGCACTCTTAGGTCTTCCTCTTCCTCGTCTGCTATGATCTGAATGGCTGTTAGACCTCGATCTCTTTCGGTTTTCTAAGTCTTTATTTACCGCAGAATTTATCTTCTCTCGCTTAACTCTCTCTGTCCGTCTCCTTTTGGCCTCACTCTTGTTTTCTGTGCAAATGAATAGAGATGATGTGATCTGCAATAGTCCTCATCTTTGCTCATAACTTACTCTCAGCACTCACCCATCCAACTTTTTTTCCTTTACTTCTCCTCACAACAGTCACAGGTCTAATTCATTACATCCATGCAGAAATTAAGGTGTCAGATGCAAAATTACACTATACTTCTTGATTACATGGATTGAGCTTTTAATTCATTCAAATATAAATGACATTTGGTAACATATGACATTCACTAGAACACCAGTTCTTAGCTTCCCATTACAAGATATGGGAAAAAAACTCTCCAGAACACAGTCATCAAGACACTACATACATTTTCATTATTGAAGAATAAGTTAAAAATGTATGATTTATCACATAGCTGACCTATAGTAAAGTACTTCTGATACAAATACTGAAATTGTTCCCACTGCTCAGACAAGAGATACTGATTCAAGGATGCTATCGTTACATGTCATTACTCAGCCACCAAACCCCCACCATCACTCCCCCACCAACCTCAGCCTAAGACCAAGTCTCATTTCACTTGATGCTGAACAGGTGTATCACCTTCCTACACATCAAAGGGCATTTACATGAGTTTCACTGAAAAGTTAAGTACAGATTAGTGAGCTTGAGTAGTGAAAATAGTACGCAACCACCACAAGCTATTCAATGCAAACTGGTTGAACATTTGCAAGGCTGCAGCTCCATTTTGCAGTAACTACATGGTAAAAAAAGTTGCAGTTCCATTTATGAGCAAAATCTTCCTGGGGAATCAACTTCCTTCTGATTCTATCACCTCATTTACATAGACAGGCTACTTACAGACTGGACAGCACATTAACCTGTCATTGATCTTAATTCAAAAGCTGTATTTCACACATACAAAGCCGAATTATGCAGGAGCTTTGCTCTATCAAACTATGGCCATCAACTTAATTTGGTAACTTGTATTTAAAACAACTGGGGAGCGGGAGAGAAAAATCATCAGCCCTTCCAGACAGTAGCACAGATTGCATTACCTGTTCCATACTGTAATCTAGCATATAATCATATAATTCCTACTAGCTTTTGAACTACAAGGGCCCTTCAGAATATCAATACAAAAATACCAAGTTCTTAGGTTCAGTTTTGTAGACTTCTTGGATAATTTAGAAAAAAAAAAGTATACATCAATATTAAAAACAAAATTCCTCAACAGGTGTTTGATCTCACTAATTCCTACTAGGACTTGAGGAAGTGATAAAAATTGGACACAAGGAGAATGTTAATCATGATAGAATGCATACTCAACCAATGTTTCAGCATGCACTTCAAAAACAAAAGAAATTGGATTGGACACAAAATGGACTTTTAAGATTTAACCATGCAGAAAGAAGCAAGATGTACCTGGTTTTAAATTAGACGTCACCACATTTATGCAGTGCCATTCTAGTGCTCGTGAGTAAGCAAAACTCAGTGTAACTTAAAGAAAAAACAGTTACTTTCAGAAACCCCAGCTTCAATCAGCATGCACTCTGAAATCGGATCCCTTTGACGTATGCAGACGTTTATTTTCAAAACATTAACAGAAAGCTTTCTGTAAGGGATTGTTTTGCATAGTGACTAATGTGAGCAGCTAAGTGTACACAGAATAAATGCCAATACTGCAAGTATAAAGGATGTAAAACCAAAACCACCACATTTTCCCCATTAAAACTGAAGAAAAACTACTACATTAAGATTACTGTGCACAAATTCAAAGGAAAGTGAACTGACAGCAGCCAGTTTGCATAGATGCACAAAACACTGCTCTTTGCTTCCAAGAAATAAAGCACAAGAGCTATTATTACATTCTTCCATATCTTTGTAAGTATTACCTGTAATGGGTGGCGATCTCTCTGCACGTTTAGCATGCAAGAGTTTTCGACTAATAAATATGTAGCCACAGGGACACGATTTACATGCAACAGGAACCTGAGAGAGCAAAAGAAAAGTATTTCAGAACATTTTGAATTATGACCAAATTCCTATATATGATGAAAAAAAACCCCACACAACAGTATCTTGCATTACATCCCCACAGAGCTACCTCTTCATATTCAGTTTTTATTGAAAAACTACAGTCTAGACCATCACATATTATATTTGAAAGTAGTCAAACCAGGTTCTGCTGTTAATCACCCACTAAGCCTTCTCTTCATGCAGTTGTCATGCAGAAAACAAGCACAGAACACAACACTGCCATGTGTTGTACAATGAGCCCTTTTCCCCAAGCTGGCAGGAAGGGGTGAGGAAAAGTGAGGGCATCAAACCAGGGATGAATTAGAATAGAAGCACGTTTTCTTTTGGAGCTCACAATTATCCCCAGCCATAGCAGTAAGCCACTCCCAGCATTCCTTCCCTCACTTATTAAACAAAAACAAAATACGGGGAGGGGGGGAAGGGGAAAGAAAGCGTAAGTTAAAATCATCAGTGCATTTAGAACACATCCACCCTCAGAAACAATCAAAACCAACCCCTTCATCAGCACAGCAGCTTAGCATGAGAGGCACAACAGAGCCTGAAGTGAAACACATGCGTTCCTACCACACGTCCACAGGGCTGCTAACAAGGTCGGGGAGCTTCAGAAGGACCAGTTAACCCAAAACACACGTAACTTGCCACAGCTCGCCCAAAGCTGGCTGCAGACAGAGCCTGAGAAGCCACAGAGCTTCCCTCAGCCAGCAGAGCAGCCCAGAGCAGCGCACTGCCACAGGCAATTTGAACCAAGGTGCAAGAATTTGGAAATGCTGTGCTTACAAGAAATATGACCAAAATTTACTCTGAACAATTTAAAAAGGCAATGCTGATAAACAACCTCATTTGTTATTTGTCATCTTCACCTAAAGCCAAGGTCTTTCAAGATGTTTTAAAATAGTACAGAATACCCCATCTAACCTTGATTAGGTTTAAGGCTGAAAACGCAAATTAAAGCAACCATAAAAATTTGGAATAGACTTAAATAACACCATAAAAAACAAACCACGTTGAAGCAGGAGAGTGGGGAAAAGAAGCAGGAAGTAACTTCCCAAGTTAAGACAGTTTGCCAGCATTCACTGAAACTGCAAGGAGTACAGACTGACCACCGTCTGCTGAATTTTACCAGACATGCATATGAAGGTTTCCAGTATTCAACTGGCTAAGACACAAATGTGAAAGCAGTGCATTAATTTTAAAGAGGAACTTGTTAGGCAGAATAAATAAGCATTCTGCTTCCTTCAGCACATCTCAACTCCTGAACATCATCTCAGGATGAGTAACTGAGTGAGTTGATGCAGCCCAGGTAACTACAGACATGGTTACTCCCTTTAATGGGAACACTGACATTAAAAACAATCTAATCAAGCTTTACTTAACCCTAAAATCAAAGTTAGCAGGCTTATGTGCGCTCTTATCCCACTGTTCACGTCTCAAGAGGAGAGTATAGAAACACTACTCAGCAGACACTTCATCTGCATTGTTCAGGTTTGTTTACATTATGAACCCACATTTGAACACCTAGATCACTCCAATAATTACCTCCCTTGGCGCTGCCAAAATTATAAATAAATAAATCACCGCTGGTGGAGGACAACCAATAGGAACTAGAGGAAACACAATGTTTTTTTCCCAATTAACTTCATAGTGTTTGACAGAGCAATATTGTTATAGGTTAGGCATGTAGGTGGGACTAATGTTTGGGGACAGGAGCACGTGGGAAGGGGCTTATTCACCCAAGGCTCTCAATTATCCTCCGAAAATTACTTACTACACAAACCATCCCCCAGCAATCATTGAGGCAGCACAGTCCTGCAAATGCTATTTGAGTCTGCTCAATGTTTTTCTAACCAAAACAAATTGAGTTTCTCATACAAGAAAGATCACTCAAAGGTAAATTAAGGTTAATTGTTTCCAATAAATGACCACAAGGATTTCAGGCTTCCTCGTTTACTGGGGCTGTGAAAATACAATCAAAACTCTGTAACAGAAAAAGCAACACAATAAAAACCAAAGATACTAAATGGCAATTACATATCATCTAAATGTCAGGAAAAAAAAAGTTTAAAAGCCTAAGAAACATTACTCAGCATTATACTGTAATATCTGTGGCTGTCTAAGTGTTTCCCCATATATCACTTGTAACACACAAAGCCCTTGTTTATGCAAGAAATGCTGGTACAAGACATGGCCACCAAGGGGCCTTCCCACCACGCAGAGGGCTGATGAGCTGCGCTGGGGCAAAGCACCTCACTTCCAAGAGAAGCTTTAAAGACCCAGGCATTGTGAGGCAAGGTTTTAGCTTCTGGTCTTGGAAAGCAAGGCCTGATGAGTAATTCTTGTGCCAGGCCAAGACGCACATAATTCCTTGCCAGCCATGGAAGACCTGTTAATAACATGTCTGTGCTCACATGCACATCATCTGGTTTAGTTCTAAGGAGCGGAACAAAGTTCCAGCATCAGCTTTAAAAGTCTGTAATATTATTTGCCCTTCCTAGTATTGGTAGTTTGTCATTTACATTAAATTAAATGAACAAAACAAAAAACACCTATCTCATACTCAACTTCTCACTCATTTCCATTTCTTCTTTCACCGACCTAATATCAGAACTTGGCACATAGCTTCCTTTTCTCAGAAACAGCACTGCAGTGACGTACTCGACATGTGAGCAGCTGCAGTGGTTCATGCATTGCTTAAAACATGAAAGGGTGCCCCACGCAGCGTAACGCCTGCAGCTGCTCCGGGATGCAAAGGAACATTACAGAAACCATGCAAGTCAGAACAAGTGATTTTTTCAGAATTTGTTCAGCAAGCAGTGTGAGAGCTTTTTGTTTTAGGTTTTAACTGAAAATGGGATACCGGTCATGTTCCAGGATCAAACAGAAATGTGTTTCCCATAATTACATGGGAAAGCCTTCTCCCCTACCCGAGCCCCACGGCAGCCTTCTGCAGCGCTGTGCTATTGTTCCAGCACGGCTGAAATGAGCCGGCCTGCTTTTATGAGTAACATCATCACCAGTAGGAAGTGGACGTGAAGGCAAACATATAATATGCCAACAGCCCAACTGCTGCTCACGCTGAAGCACAATAATTGCACTTTGTATGCTGAGCACAACTGCGGTGGGAGCAAACAACACTGCACACACGTTGGGACCACACGGGAGGAATTACAGCAAAGCTCCCAGTTTTGCTCCTTCTAAACTGCTCCATGAGAAAGCAGCACAGTGAGCGATCCTGACCGGCCCCAGGCACGCGAGTCATGCTGGGGACGGGCTGCACTGTATAAATTACAAAGTTAATTGTATTTTGATATATTTTGTCGTTACTAAACAATACCAATGCCTAAGCAACGCTGCATGTCACAGAATCCTTTGGCATAAGCTAACTATCACAGCAAGAGAAGCACGGTACACACAACCGGCGACTGCAAAGGCAACAACTCCGTGCTTCATACAAACGCTGCTATAAACGGTGCAGATCTTCCTCCTTTCTGAAAACCAAGCAGCTCAGCCAGCAGCTTCTGGCGTTACCGCCACAAACGCGTATTCTACAGCACGTACATCGAGAGACAGCCACGGGCGAGAGGAGCTGACAGAAAACAGGAAGAGCGGCGGGGCTCAGCGGGAAGCCCCTGCACGGGCAGCGGCCGCGCTGCACGCCGAGGCGCGGGGCCGGGGGCACCGAAGCGGCATCGAAGCCCCGCACACCCGCGGCTCGCCCCGCTCTCAGCCACAGCCCCAGCGGCAGCGCTGCCGTGCCAGCCAGGCGGCGGCGAGCGCCGAGTACACGGGCACTGAGGGCAAAGCGGCCGGGCGCCAGGCGTGGGACGGCTGACAGGACGGGACAGGACGGGACAGGGCGGCTCCCGCGCCGCGCCACGCCCCGCCTCACCTGCTGGTCGCACTCCGGGCACGACTTGGTGGCCATCTTCACTTTCTTGGCCCTGCTCGACGACATGCTCGCTACTGATGCTGCTCTGCTGCTGCCGCCGGAGCGCCGCCGCCCCGCCCCTTGGCGGCCGAGGAGGGCGGGAGGAGAGGAAGGCGGGGGCGCGGCGCCGGCCGGGAGCGCGCAGCAACGGCAGCGAGCGCGGCCTCCCCGGGGCCTGGCCCGGCCCGGCGCCCACAAAGGAGCCGCTCCACCTCCCCGACACCGCCGTTGAAGCCCGGCCCACCCGGCGGCAACCGAGGCGGGGCGCGTGCGCGAGGAGCCGTCCGCACCCCCGGATTGGCTGTGTGCACATGGGGGCGCGGGTCCGCTTAACGGCCGCGGATCGGCGCGGCTCGGCTGTGGAGGGCAGGAGCGGCTGCTCGGGAGCTCAGCAACGGGCGCGAGAGCCGACCTCCAGAGCCGCCCACCGGCAGCGGGGCTCGGCGCTGCGGCCTCCCGCCTCAGCTGTTCGCTCGCGCCTGTGAGGCTCGCCGTGCTCGCAGTGGTGCGTCCTTACAGGAGCGTGGATCTTCTGTCACTCCCGCCCGCAATTATTAATAGCGTAACCTAACCTAGCTGCGCTTTTACATTTCTTACACATTTTTAAAGAAAAATAGCAGTTTGAAATACTTCCACTGCAAAAAGTTAGAGCTGTGCAACAGTGTGTGAATGTTTTGTATTTGCGTGCAAAGGTTACATCTTAAAGAGGAAAGTGAGAATGACAGTGCCTCTATTAAGAGTTTGGCTTTCTCTTTTTTTAATTATACTTGTTCATTTACTACAAGATGTCTACAGGAGAAAAATGCACCGAAGCCTTGACAGCAAATTCTTTTTTTGAAGATTTCTGTTTAAAACAGCCCCAAGTGTAGCTGCCAGCAAATATTAAAGACCTGCACTGGGCCTGTGACACTTCCGCAGGGCAGCAATGGGAGCATCTGCGAGGCTGGCACTGGGCCCGCTGTAACAGAATCTGATTTGGTTGCTTTGAGTTGGACTTGGCTTTTGCACCTCCACACAGAGGAAAAACACTGGAGGAGAGGTGTTCTTAATCAGGCTTCTCTCTGCGTTTTTAAGGAAATTCACCTAACTGCAATTCAGAGAATGCTTTTTAAAGGTTAATTTTATTGCTGTCTACTACCTCATCACTGAGTTATTTTGAGGCATTTGGTCAGCTCTTGGTAAACAGGAATCCACAGAGAGAGTATTTATTCATCAGCCAGCACAGCCCAAATCACTTTGCCCTGCTTGTGAAATGAAAAAATACCTCTTCCTTCAGGCAGAAGACCAGCACTCCTCCTAACTCCTCACAGAGTAAAGCTACAGCTGAAGGCCTTGGTGAATGCTCTACCCTTCCCACGGTTTGCTGATCATCCCTACAGACCAGATAATGGTCTCCCAGTTGCCAAGCGATGTTGTCTGGAGCCTCGCTCTTGCTTGATTTATTCAGCTCAGCTGTTGATGCTGCTTTATGGTTCTGTGAAACCAGAAAATGGAGTTCCAGATTCATAAAAGCCCACACATACTCTACATCAGCAATGTGCTTTTATTACAGGTTTCTAAGCAACATTATTGCTGTGTGTAACATAAACACAGTAAAAAATGAAATGTCTTCTAATCAGCACAGAGAACAACCAATTTCATCTATCTGTACTAAGGAAAATCAGAATATTTAGGAGATAACATAGGGAAGTTACATAACATCATAACAGTAAGGAGGTGCATTCCCACCTTAAGCATTGGAAATGTGATTCCTTTCAGTAATCCTGACAGTTAACCTCTCACATGACAAAGTTCACAGGTAACAATTTTAGGGTAAAAAAAAGTTCTTATTTAAATTTGAAAAAAGAAATCTTTTTAATTTCATGCTAACCATGACCCAAGGAGTAGAGATGTCTCAGTCAGCCGTTTGAAGAGGAAGGTTGCAGTTCCAGGTCCAAGCACAATCACTTACAATCATTTACCCACTTCTGTTATTGATAGTTTATCTCTGTAATTATCAGGGCAGCTCCCCAAAGAGAGCTCCTAGCCAAAACAGCAATACAGCTCTGGTCCTATGCTGTTTTTCACATGCAAAACAAGGAAAATGGAGGGTTAAAATCACCAGTAAACTGTTTAAGGTCCACTTTCACACTTTTTCCATACTCCTACTCCCTTTCTTTAGCAACCGCTCTGAAGAAGGAAAAGCCATCTCAAAACATCCTACTGGAGAGGGGCATACCTTGCGTTGGAAAGGGACTCCATGAAGCCACCACGAGCCACCTAAATGCATTAGATTATGATCCATATTTGTACAACATACTGTACTTACTGTACTGGATTTCACATTTTTATATAAATAGATCTTTATATATTCATTCATATACGTAAATGAAATAAAGACACTAAAAATATATACTCCAGTAACAGACCAACTGTACTGTTTCTTTGTTGTTGTTCTGCATTCTTCTTAAAAGAATTGATTACCTGTAGAACTGCTACAAGTTTTAAATCACCAGAAGGCTGTTTGATACGTGGTTTTCTACTTGTTTTCCACCAGAAGTCCTACATGCCACATTTGGTTCCAGCAGAAGCTTTCACATTGTTGCAGCACAGATTTTTTTTACTTTGGTTGATAAAACAAATGCTGACAGATCTAACAGGTCTCAACTGCATTATATTTTATATTAAAGACAATAACATAATTTGAGTGTTTTGAATTTAAACTGCTCGCATAAAGTAAAAGAGAGAAGACGCTTGTTAAACTGTTCTGCAACCAGGATTTACACCACAGGAACAAAGAGCAGTTAGACTTCAGGTGTAATGCTCGCTTCATGTTATGAAAGCAGTGCTGGAATGGATGAGTGCTATGAATTGCAGGCAAACAAAAATCCATTCATAATACATAGTACATATGGTAAAAATGTATCTAGAAGAGTTTTAAAGTCCTAAATATTAAAAGTAGTTCAACACTAATGTCTGAACTCTGATTATCATCTCTCCACACAAATATGCTCAGGGTAGTTTTCTACATGCTGCATTTTAAATCACAATGAACATATCTAAGTATTAACTTTATCTCTCATAGATAAATGTAAGATATACAGTGTACAGTTTTGTTCAATCTAGTTTTCCCAATTCTCAGCCCAGTGTCTCCTTCCTGCATACATATCATCCTTATTGGAATCTCATATGCACATTCCTCTTCCTGCAGACACCTACCACAGTAGGTGTTCTCAGACAGCAGTGTGCTACTACAGTAACATTGCCACTGTCACAATCTGTCATGATCTAAACAATAGGAAAAGTGCTGGACTTCTGCTACGTCATTTCCCAGAATTAAATTACATTTATGCCCTAGAAAGTCCCCTAAAGATTCTCAGTTTGCCATGCCACTCCATCCTTGCTAACAATTATTGTATGATGAATAAATAGCCAAACATTTCGCAGAATGCTTTCCTAGAACAGTACCACCTATTGATTTGTTTCCACCCCTCCTCCTTGAGTCTCATTCCTAACAGCTCATGTCGGCGCTCTGTGGCCTCTCTGTTCTCCCACTCTTTCTCTCATTCTTAGCATTCATGCCTATGGACTCCACAGCCATTTGTTGCTTCAAGTCCAGCTCCCACACAGAGTGTGAGAAGATATTCTGCACTTGTGAGCATCCATCCCTGTGTTATGGCTTCTGCTGTGTGCAGAGCAACTGAATTAGCTAACTTGCCATGTTCCTTTTCTCGTCAGTATTTAAATGATCTCTCAGAGGGTGAGTTTTGTTTACCTTCTCGCTGTGTGTACTGCTTTCAGCCTACATCGATCTGCTGCCAGCAGAGGTCTTTCTCCACAGATACACAAAGACAAGTTTATATTTTCTATAAACCGTGACCGTTGCCAAAAACACAGTTGCGTTTCATATAGGCAAAACATCCAGATTTGTTGCTGGATTGAGATTAAATCATGCAATGAGAACCTGGAAAATATTTCAGGATTTTGTTTTTCATTTTAACTGAGAAGTTTCAGGCACAGCAAAACATACAAAAATATTTTGGAAGGCCCTTAACAGCAGGGGGCTCTGCAGTGTGTGTGACAGTGTCCAGGAAAGGAGTTAATGAATATACAAGAGAACTAACACAGTCCTATTACAGTATCCTCCCTTTCTTTTTAGAGCAAATAAAATAGCAACAGCTGTTCAAATACTTTAACAAAAATAAAAATTCTTTCCTTATTGAACACAAGCAAGATAGCACTCACTGCTAGACTCCTGATTTTTAAGATTCATCATACAGACATCTGTTAAAGGTTGGGCCTGATGATCTTCCAAAGTCCTTTCCAATCTGTGCTGGTCTGTGATTCTATTCTATTTTTCTGGGTATTCTAATTTATTAACACAAGAGTTTTGAGTTCTGAATGTCAAAAATTACTACTATGTCAAAACTACTCTTGTATCCCTTTAGAGGTTTAACACAGCACTGAGAAAAAGCAACAAATATTTTTTTTAAGAGTACAGATGCCTAACCTCTATGTCAGTAACAGTAGTACTTTGCAAGACAGAGCCTCACTTAGAACATGTTTTACACTAATTTAAAAGAGGAAATAATAAAGCTATGCCATTTATGTATTTGACGAAAAGCTACACATGAAGTTCCGTGTCCTTGATGGTTTCTTGTCTATGTGGTTGCCACATGCAGTCTGGCTGATCTGAATTATGGGAGGCCTTAGGATTCTCTCCTTCACTGGGATGCCTACCACACGGGGCTCTTACACACTGCAGTATTTTGGTGTGCAGCTCCAATTTGACAAGCACAAAATCCACAAGAAGTCCATACTCTTACTGTGCTTCCTTTGGAACTCAAAAGAAACATTTACATTTCTAGCTCATAGTCCCTGGCTGTTAAAGACCCTCTGAAATACTCAAATAGTTTTTGGTGTTTTGTGTATCTGAACCTTCTCAGTTAAGGTGGAAAAAAAACCAACCCAGAAGCAGACTCAAGGTCATGGTTTCATGAATTTCCATCACAGGTGTGCAAAATTACTACAGTTCACACATTATTTAGAACAGTTTGGTTTCAACAAAATCATGCAAGCAGTTTTATTTTAAATGTTTTGTATATAAAGTGTCCTATTCAA